CAAACCCAACTCGTAGAGCAGATATGCAAATGAGAAAGAGAAAGAAACTATACCATACCACCTCAAAAATTATTGAAAACAAAGACAAACAATAAAAGAGAAAGGAACAAAAGATATTTAAATCAGCCATAGGAAAAACAATTAGATGACAAGAGTAAAACAGTACCTCCCAATAACAACCCTAAATGTAAATGGATTAAATTCTCCACTCAAAAGACACAGACTGATTGTATTAAAAAGTAAGACCCAACTATATAATGTCTTCGAGACACTCACCTCACCCATAAAGACACACAGATGAATAGTGAAGGGATGGAAAAAGATATACCACATAAATGGAAACCAAAAATGCGCATTCTTAGATAAAATAGACTTTAAACCAAACCCATAATTACAGACAAAGAAGGCCATTGTATAATGATAAAGGGAACTATTCAGCAAGAAGACATAACAACCATAAATCTATATACACCCAACGCCAGAGAACCCAGATATATAAAGCAAACACTATTAGACTTAAAGGAAAAGATAGATCCCAATATGAAAATAGTTGGTGACCTGAATACACCTCTGTCAGCATTGGACAGATCATCTAGGCAACAAATCAACAGAGAAACACAGGATTTAAACCACACTTTAGACCAATTGGACTTGGCAGAAATCTACAGAAGATTTCATCCCACAACTACAGAATACACCTTCTTCTAATCAGCACATGGAACATTTTCCAGGATAGCCCAAATGTTACATCACAAATCAAGTCTCAACAAATTTTTAAAAATTGAAATTATTTAAAATGTCTTTTCAGACCACAATGGATTAAAACTAGAAATTAATAACAAACAAAACTCTGGAAACTATACAAACACATGGAAATTAAACAACATGCTCCTGCATGGCCCCTCGGTCCAAGAAGAAATTAAACAGGAAATCAAAAAATGTTTTGACACTAATGAAGATGAAGACATATCATACCAAAACCTGTGGGATATTGCAAAAGCAGTACAAAGAGGGAAGTTTATTGCAATAAGTGCTTACATCAAAAGAATAAAAAGATTTCAAATAAATAACCTTATGCTATACCTCAACTAGAAAAACAAGAACAATCCAATACCAAAATTAGTAGATGGAAGGAAATCATTAAGATCAGAGCAGAACTAAATGAAATATAGACCCAAAAAATGATACAGAAGATCAATGGAATGAAAAGTTGTTTTTTGAGAAGATAAAATAGACAAATCATTGGCAAGGCTAACTAAAAAAAAGAAGAGAGAAGACTCAAATAACAAAAATCAGAAATGAAAGAAGAGACATTACAACTGATACCACAGAAATATAAAGACTCATTAGAGACTATTATAAACACTGCACACCAACAAATTTGTAAACCTGGAAGAAATGGATAAATTTCTGGACACATACAAGTTACCAGACTGAACCAAGAAAACATAGAAAACCTAAACAGACCAATAACAAGCAATGAGATTGAAGGAGTAATCAGAAGTCTCCCAACAGAGAAAAGCCCAGGACTGGATAGCTTTAATGTTGAATTCTACCAAACATTTAAAGAGGAATTAACATGAATTCTCACCAAACTATTCCAAAAATTTGAAATACAAGCCATTCTCCCAAATTCATTCTATGAGGCCAGTATCTCCTTGATACCAAAACCAGACAAAGGTACAACAAAAAAAGAATATTACAGGGCAGTATCTTTGATAAACATGGATGCAAAAATCCTCAACAAAATATTAGCAATCGGAATACAGCAACACATCAAAAAAATTGTACACCATGATCAGGTGGGATTTATCCCAGAGTTGCATGGATGGTCAACATATGCAAGTCAATAAATGTCATATACCACATCAGCAAAATCAAGGACAAAAAGCATACGATTATCTCAATAGATGCAGAAAAAGCATTTGATAATATTCAACATCCCTTCATGATAGATAAAGGCTCTCAGCAAATTAGGTATAGAAGTTAAGTATCTCAATACAATAAAAGCCATATATGACAAGCCCACTGCCACTATCATCCTGAATGGGGAAAAGCTGAAAACTTTCCCCTTAAGGACGGGAACAAGACAAGGAGGCCCACTATCACAACTCCTATTTAACAGTGTTGGAAGAAATAGCAAGAGCAATCAGGCAAGAGAAGGAAATAAAGGGCATCTACATTGGAAAAGATGAAGTTAAACTGTCCCCATTTGCAGTTGACATGATCCTACATGTAGAAAAACCTAAAAACTCTACCAAAAAACTCTTAGAGCTGATAAACGTTTTCAGTACAGTTGCAAGATATAAAATCAACATGCAAAAATCAGTAGCGTTTTTATACTACAATAACAAACTAGCAGAAAAAGAAATCAAGGGCCGAGCCCGTGGCGCACTTGGTAGAGTGCGGCACTGGGAGTGCAGCGGCGCTCCCGCCGCAGTTTCGGATCCTACATAGGGATGGCCGGTTCGCTCACTGGCTGAGCACGGTGTGGCTGGTCTCGACAAAAAAAAAAAAAAAAAAAAAAAAGAAATCGAAAAAGCAAGCACATTAAAAATAATCTCACACACACACAAAAGAAATACCTAGGCATCAATTTCCCCCAAACAATCTACAGGTTCAATACGATCCTCATCATACATACCAATGACATTCTTCACAGAAATAGAAAAAACAATCCCAACATTCACATGGAACAACAGAAGACCCCAAAAAGGCAAAGCAATCCTGAGCAAAATAAATAAATAAATAGACAGACAGATAGATAGATAGATAAATAAATAAATAAATAAAGCTGGAGGCATAACACTCCCTGACTTCAAAGTATACTGCAAAGCTATAGTAACCAAAACAGCATGGTACTGGCATAAAAACAGACACTGAGACCAATGGAACAGGATAGAGAACATAGAAATCAACCAAAATACTTACAGCCAACTGATCTTTGATAAAGATAACAAGAACATACACTGGGGGAAAGACTGCCTCTTCAATAAATGGTGCTGGGAACACTAGAAATCCATCTGTAGAAAAATGAAACTATACGTATACCTCATGCTATATACCAAAAATCAACTCCAAATCTATTAAATATTTAAATATAAGACCTGATATTATCAAACTCTTAAAAGAAAACATAAGGGAAATACTTCAGGATATATGACTGAGCAAAGACTTTATGAATAAGACCCCAAAAGCACAGGCAACAAAAGAAAACATATACAAATGGGATTATATCACATTAAAAAGCTTCTGCACAGCAAAAGAAACAATTAACAGAGTAAAAAGACAACCTAAAGAATGGGAGAAAATGTTTGATACTATGCATCTGAGAAGGGATTAATATCCAGAATATACAAAGAAGTCAAACAACTCAACAGTAAGAAAACAAGTAACCCAATTAAAAAATTGTCAAAGGAGCTGCATAGACATTTCTCATATGAAGAGATACAAATGGCCAATGGACACATGAAAAAATGTTCAACACCACTCAGCATCAGGGAAATGCAAATCAAAACCACACTGAGATATCATCTCACCCCAGTTAGACTAGCTATTATCAAAAAGACAGAGAATAACAAATGCTAGCAAGGATGCAGAGAAAGGGGATCCCTCCTACACTGCTGGTGGAACTGTAAATTAGTGTAGCCATTAAGGAAAGCAGTATGGAGGTTTCTCAACTCTAGACAGAACGGCCATTCAATCCATCAATTCCACTGCTGGGTATATACCCAAATAATTGGAAGTAATTATGTAGAAGGAATACCTGCACTCCCATGTTTATTGCAGCTCTATTTACAATAACCAAGAGTTGGAATCAACCTGAATGTCCATTGATAGATGACTGGATAAGGAAAATGTGGTATATACACTCAAAGGAATACTACTAATCCATAACAAAGGATGAAATTCTGCCATTTGCAGCAACATGGGTGAACTTAGGGAAAATTATGTTAAGTGAAATAAGCCAGGCACGGAACACAGAAAGAGAAATACCACATGTCCTACTCATAAGTTGGAGCTAAAGTAAAGAAAGAAAAGAAAGTAAGAAAGAAACAGTCACAATCATACACTGAAATAAAAAAAAAGAGAGAACAGAACTGTGGTTATTAGAGGTGAGAAAGGGGGAGGAGGTGGTGGGTTAGTAAGAAATTAGTTAAGGATCACAAAGATTAATTATGTTTGGTAAATATGAGTATACTAATTATTTGGTTTGATCACCACTTTTTGTAAACATGTAATAATATTTAATTCTGTACCCACAAATATATATAATTAATTATCTTTCAATTAAAAATAAATTAGTAAATAAATTTATAGTTAAAAAAATGTAACTTGAAAACAACAAAATGTGAAAAAGTTCGGGGGCACGATGTCAAAGTGTTGAGTTGTTTTTTTTTCTTTTTTCTTAACTATTAAGGTTTTTATTAGTTTAAAATAATCTTATAACTATGGCTTGTTTTTTGTAAGCTTTATGGTATCCATACACAGAAACCTGTAATAGACATACTAAAAATAGTGAGAAATCAAAATAGATCACTAGAGAAAAATCACTTAAGTACAAAGTAAAACAGTAAGACTGGAAAAAATGAAAAAAGAATGTATAAAACAACGAGAAAAAAATATATAACAAAACGGCACTAACAAGTCTCTATATATCAATAATAACTAAATGCAAGTGGGTTAAATTTCCCAATTAAAAGACACAGAGTGGCTGAATGGATTATAAAATAAAAATCAACAATATCCTGCCTACAAAAATCTCACGTTACCTATGAAGACACAGATCAACTGAAAGTGAATGGATGCAAAATGTATTTCATGAGAATGAGAATTAAAAAAGAGGAGTAGCGAGCCCAAACAAAATAAAATGAATATATCAATAAAAAACTTGCATTCTTGTGTTCATTGCAACACTACTCACAATAGCCAAGAGGTGGAATCAACCTAAATGTCCATCAGCTGATGAATGGATTTATTTATTCATTCATTCATTTTACTGACAGAGAGACTATGCCTTTATTTTCGAACAGAAAGTTTACAGAATACAAAGTGAGCCTGCAAGATGGATACGCATTCTCCAAAGGCTTGTCTGGCCGGATGGGAAGGAAAACCAGAGCAACATCAGGAACACAAAGGAGGCTGAAAGAGAGAGACAAACATATCAGATCATAACAGGTCTCACACTCAAGATCCTGCAAACACAGATGGGAGATTTCCTGACTCAGGGTTATGTTCTTGGGCCTCAAAGGTGAGGAAAAAAATCAAAGATACTGTGTTTATTTATATACTTCGCTGGCATTATAAACTGTGACATGTACATTTCTCAGAGCATAAAGAACAGCCTATGTCAGCACAGGAGCACACACCTATGGGTTACTCTCAGACTTTCGTGTTTGTTAGGAGACCCCATAAGCCCCTGGGTCCTTTTGAATCTGTAGGTTTACTTGGAGTTAAACATGCCTGAGTTTGAGCCAGAGCTCCCTCCAACATGAGTTACCTTTAAACCTCAGTTTTTCTTGTCTATACAACGTGAGGAATATTAGGAAGTACTTCATAGGATTATTGTGGGGTAAGATAGGAGATGCCTGTTCAGTGATGAACTGAGGGCCCAGCCTGTAGTAGATGCTCAAGAGATGGGAGCAATGATAATGTATTACAGAAACTGTAAGTGAAAAACAGAGCACAATGCTATACAAAGCTCTTCTCTCATCGGGTTTATTAGGTGTATTTATGTATGTCTAGACCCAGAAGAAAGTCCAGCTGGGGTTAAAGGTACAGAATAAGTAAACTTCCCAAGCCCATCAGGGACTTGGCCGATCTAACCCATTTTTCATGAGACTTGCCTCACTTTGAATTAACCAAGGCAGTGCTGTTCTGTTCAATTCCAGAAACAATCTTTAGCCCTTCGCCTTCCTCTCAAACCTCACCACTCTCTTCAATATGGAATACTGAAATGGATTTTAAACACATGTAATATATATACACAACAGAATACTATTCAGCTTTTTAAAAAATGAAATCCTGTCATTTGCAGCAACGTGAATGGAACAGGAGACCATCTTTTTAAGTGAAGTAAGCCAGGCACACAGAAAGACAAATACCACATGATCTCACTCATATGAGAAATTTTTTTTTAAAAAAGTGGTTCTCATAGAACTAGAGAGTTGAATAATGGTTACTAGAGGCTGGGAAGAGCAGAGGAGATTGGGGGGTCGGGGGAGAGGAAGTGGTGTGTTAACTGGTACAAAGCTACAGTTATATAGAATAAGTTCTGGTGTTCTAGGCTGACTAGAGGTAATACTATTATACTGTGTATTTTTAAATAGCTAGAAAAGAGGATCTTGACCACAATCATCACAAAGAGAAGATAAATGTTCAGGGGATGGATATGTTATCTACCCTAAATGAATCATTGTACAATATATGTCTGTACTGAAACAACACACTGTATACCACAAATGTGTACAATTAAATTTGAAAATAAAATATAAAAAGAGAAAAGAAACCACAGGGGGCAGAAGGCAATGGAATCCCATATTCAAAGTGCTGAACAAAAAAGTGTCAATGAAGAATTCTATATCCAGGAAAATTATCCTTCAAAAATGAAGGTAAAATAAAGACATTCCCAGAAAAAAACAAAAACAAAAACAAAAACAGAGAATTCACCACTGCAGACCTATCTTACAAGAAATATTAAAGAAGAGTTCTTCAGGCTGAAATTAAAGGACGCTAGACAGTAACTCAAATCACACGAAGAAATAAAGATCAGTGGTAGAAATAACTACATAGATAAATATAAAATATAGTACTTTTGTTTGTGACAGATACTTTTCTCCTACCTAATTTAGAAGAAAGCTGAAAAATCAATAATTATAGAACATGTTGATGGGCTCATAATGTAAAAATACATAATTCACATGACATTATTAGCCCCAAAGAGGGGGGAAGGGAATACAGCTATATTTGAACAACATTTTTGTCTATGATTGAAATTAAGCTGGTTTTAAAAGTAGATGATTTTAAGTGAAGATGTTAATTGTAATTTTCAGGGTAACCACTAAAGAAATAATTCAAATTATACTAAAGAAATAAAAGAATTAAAATGGTACACTAGAAAATATGTAACACAAAAGAATGCAGTGATGAAGGAATAGAAGATCAAAAAACACATAGCACATATAGAAAGCAAAAAGCAAAATGGCAGACATAAATTCTAACTTATCAGGAATTATGTTAAATGCAAATGAATCGATCCAGTGAGAAAGGATTGTTCGAATGGATTTTTAAAAGATCCAATAATATGTTGTTCATAGGATACATACTTCAGACCCAAAGATACAAATAAACTGAAAGTAAAAGAAGGATGGGAAAAAATATATCATGTAAACAGCAAGCATAAGAGCTGGAATGGCTAAACTAATATCAGACAAAATATGTTTTTAAAAAAATGTTTGCAGAGATAATGATAAACATATATGCACCTAACAACAGAGCCAAAAATATATGAAGCAAAAACAGAATCAAAGGAGAAATAAACAATTTGACAATAACTATTGGAGGCTTTAATACTCACTTTTGATAGTGGATAGAATAACGAGGTAGAAGATTAACAAGAAAATAGAAGAATTAAGCAACACTAATAAACAACTAGACCTAATACACAACTTATGAAACACACATTCTTTTCAAATGCACATACAACATTACAGAGGTTAAACCATATGTTAGGCCATAAAACAAGCCTCAATAAACTTAAAGGACTGAAATCATACAATGTATGTTCTCTGACCAGAATAGAATAAAATTAGAAATCAGTGACAGAAGGAAATTTGGGAAATTCAAAAATGTGTGGAAATTAGACAACAATCTC